GCCAACTGAGCCACACCAGCCAGGGCTGTCCTTTCATAATTAATGTACATTATTTTGTTTGTATATATCTCACAAATTGTATAGTGTATTGTGCATGCATTTCTAATTTATGTGAATGGTACTTTATTACATATGTAATATTTTACTCTTATCTAAGCACATTGTTTTTGAGAACCATTCATGTTGCTATATGGATAGGTAATCTACTATTTCCAATTACTGTGTAGTTAAAGTGGCCATATAATTTTCATAGAAATCATAAAAGGGGGTGCCTATTAATAATTACACTGGAATAATGGGTTAAACAGGGCTGTATTAGGCAAACCAAGATGTATGGTCACTCTGTGCTCCTAAATTCCATGCTGTTCATCCATGACATTTTATTGGTCTGCTCTTCCAAGAATGGGCATCCAGGTTGTCGCCAATTCCCTGCTTGCGGGAAGCCGTTCCATCCTTGCTGCTTGACACAGTACTTCAAGGAGGAGACATCTGCACAGCAAACGCTCCATGGGACTTGGTGTATGGCATATCCCTCTTCCTACGCTTGTTCCCCTTTCTAATGCTCTGTGTCCTTACCAGAGTCACTGCACTAGAAAAGGGCATTGCCCTACCTGGAAACTTTTCGCTAGCAGGGGGATTGGATGGGACTGGAAAAGACAATGATTCAATAAAAGCCCAAGCATTGCAAAAATATCATGTTCCGCTTACAGGAATTCAGACTCAAACTGTCAGTAGAAGAGTTAGGACTTGTTAGGTCCACTACCCTGGGGGGCCTTCCCGCCAGGGAAGAGGCCTGGGTTGGGGCCCCTGCTGACTCGACAGCGCAGGGCCATCCACAGGGAGTCCACCAGTGAGCTCCCACTACGGAATGTATTGCTGGGGGATGTTTATATTCATGGAAAACTCTGGGAATCCCCACAAGGAAAGAGATTATTTCAATCTACACCTGAACCCTTATCATACACCGGATATTACAATGAGGACAGGCACCGCACAGTTAATTACAAAAGCAAACATACACAGGTACGAAACATCCCAAGCTTCTTAGAAAGGCTAGGGGAACAGGACCCCCTTGGTGCCTGTTAGATGAGAAGGTGAAAAAGGCTTTGCGCAGACAACTTAGAAAGTGCCACTGTAGACCAGGCAGGAAGTTCCCTTACCTGACGGACTGCTGCAGGGAGTGTCAGCGGAGAGACTAGGAATAGGCGCCAGACGGTAGTTATTTTCCTTTTAGCTATATGGTAGAGCAATAAATTAGTAACTTTAGAATAGAAATAACAAACTAGAAATTAATCTGTAGAATAGCCTATAGAAATATAAATAATAGATAAGACTAAAATCAACATGGCTAAACAGAAATAAATTCTTTAGCAAAGGTCAGATAGAAGGTATAAACATTAACTGTGAAGGGTTAAGACAGAAACCAGAGCAAAGCATGATGTCATGTTGTTTAACCAGCAATAAAATCAAGTAGTATAGAGTTGTAACAAGGCAATAAAGAGAGAAGCTGATTGTCCTGATGCTCTGAACACTGTCCCCGTGTCCTGCTGTCCCCGTGTCCTTCATTCTTCACTGATGCCATCCACATCTTTGGGGACCCCTGGACCACTGGGGCTGGACCCCGGCACCTGCTATCAATAATAGCTTTTCAAACAGCCTCATACAGGTCCCACGTGTACCTGTGTGAGAATTTCTTAGACAAAAAGATGTCTAGTATTTATACATTTCTGACAATTATGAGAACATTGAAAAGATGAGCAATGAGATAGAAAAGGAAACTGCAAAGCAATGTTTGAAAAATAAAAAGTGGTAGAGCACTTCAGTTAGAATGAAAGGTTTTAGTAGAGGGGTAATGAAAGATATGGCTGGCTGGAAAGTAGGCTTTGAGGCAAAACTGGGAGGGCTGTTCATATTATAAATTTTATCTTGATACTGAGAGTCACTGAAAGTTTCTCAACGAGGGTGGAAATGGTATTCTAGGAAGATATATCTGATGATACTGAATCAAACATACAACAGAGACTGGAGTGAGAAGATACTGAGTGAATATTTGAAAGCCAGTATAATACAGTAGTTATCTGTATTATCTGAAGCCATCTATCTGGATTCAAATTTAATTCTATCAGTTACTAGATTTATGACCTCATTTAAGTTCCACATGCCTCAGTTTCCTAGGTTAGAGATTATTATAGTACCTTCCCCATAGAGTTGAATGTCAAGAGCTTATAACAGTACCTAGCACATAATAATTGCTCTCGGTATTAGCAATTATTATTATTGCTGCATAGTCAGGGAAGAAATTGAGCTCAATTTAGCTAATCTGGTGGTAGAATACCCTCAACAATCAGAACTCATGCCTAGAAGAAAGTATGCTAATATTACCTAGTATGTCATTCACAAACCCTTACCTTCCCCTAAAGGGCTTAGAATAAGGCAAAAGGGTTTTTGTAAAAACACTCTTGGCTCACATTACATATAGCTTGCTAACTCCTGAGCCAGGTATAATAATATAATAAAGATTCAAACTGATGATAAATTATAGTTGCCACAAATATTATAGTTAAATGTCAAATGTTATTTAATATATGTTCATTTTCTCTGGGAGCCCAGTGTTTTTCTTTTTAATTGGCATAGGTATATGATAAAATAAAACTATTAATGTCTTTTCAGCAGTACAAATTTTTAAGAAAAAAAAAAATTCCTCACCTGAGTGGAATATAAGATTAAGCTATGAAAGATTACACTATAGGAGCAATTGGAATCAAAAACATTTGAGCCTGGTCGGCATGGCTCAGCAGGTGAGCATCCACCTATGATCCAGAAGATCGTGGTACAATTCCCGGTCAGGGCACATGCCCCTGCTGCAGGCTTGATCCCCAGTTGGGGGGGTTGAGGGGGCAGCCAATCAATGACTCATCATTGATGTTTCTATCTCTCCCTCTCCCTTCCTCTCTCTGAAATCAATACATTTTTAAAAATAAATAAAATAAAAATGTATTACTTTTCTTTACCTAATGTCATATACTTTCTGCAAAGAAATTGTCACTATTAATTTTAGCAACATATCAAAAATTCGACTTCCAATGGCCTACATTTGAAAGTGTCAAAATACTCTGAACCTATCATAGGAATGTCTGAAAACCTACACCCTGAATTATTCTATGATAGGGTTGTCCTTTCATACTTCTAGCCCTAGAAATAATTCTAAACACAAGGTTAGCTAATTCTTCCCTTATTACCACCCTCTTCCTCAAATACTGTGTGCTGTTCATTTCTTGCATCCACACAGCGAAACACCCCGTGGGCAAGGTCTGGAAGCCGTTCACACGGAAGGGGAAAGGCCTGGTGGCAGCTGAGTGCGAGGAGCTGGCGCGGGAGCCCGGCCCCGGTTTCCGGGCCAGGTCTGCTAATGTAATCGCCCCGCGTCTCTGTTGCCCCATGTATAAAATAAAAGTACGTGGTTGGAATTCGGGATCCCTAAAATCAATCCAGCTCCGGTTATCCCCCTCGGGGAAGTCTGCAGCCCTATGCAGCCCTCGTTCCCTCCGGGTCACGCACCGCCTGAGACAGACGGGTCATCAGACGCTGCGACTTCAGGGCTTATTCACTAAACCACCCCGGCGGGCCCGCCCTCGGCGCCAGGCGCGGCCGGGGGCT